ATATATTTATGTTTGTGGTTGTAATGTGACAAAATATGGAAAAGTTCAAGGGGTATGAATACTTTTGCAAACCACTGTATTTAAAATTGTTTATTTACTAATTATGTAGTGAAGTATTGAGCTTGTAATGTTCTTTCAGTTTCTGCTGCTAACAAACACCCACACAGAATAATGCTGCCTCCACCATGCGTCATTATAGAGATGGTGATCTGGGCACCAGTCATGAAATAGGTAATTAATGTCAGCAGAGATCAAGTGAAATGGGAAGAAACTGAGCAAAATTTCAAATGTTATAAATATCTGAATCTGTATGGGAATGTTTTTTCAGGAGTTTTATTTTCCTTTTATTAAGTTTATTCAGTTATATATAATTTTGATGTTGCTTTTTCATTATGAGATCTGGAGAGATTATTAAATGGTACTGGTAAATGGTACTGAACTTATAGAGCGCTTTTCAAGTCCCTCCAGACCCCCAAAGTGCTTTACACTAACAGACATTCACCCATTCACACTCACATTCACACACTGATGATGGCAAACTACACTGTAGCCACAGCTGCCCTGGGGCACACTGACAGAGGTGGGGCTGCCATGCATCGGCACCTCCGGACCCTCTGACCACCATCAGTAGGCAAGGTGGGTGAAGTGTCTTSCCCAAGGACACAACGACTGAGACGGCTGGACGGGGGATCGAACCAGTGACCTTCTGGTTCCAGGACGACTCCCCTAACCACAAATAAATTATTAAGGAAAAATAAATTTAAATGTAGCATCAGGCTGCAACATAAAGTTAAGGCAGTCAGTCCTAATAATTTATGAAGCCAATGTATGTTTATTAAAGAAACTGATCAAAGTTTGGAAGTAATATAAATCTCCACTCTGATTGATTTTACTGTGTGTGATCTAACATATGTTTGTGTATGTTTAAAGGTATCCAGGCTGGAAACCAACTCTACCAAGGTCAGTTATACTTCTGWCTGTTTCAGCTTGTTGAGCTCAATTCTGCTAACTAGGTTGGCTCCAAACAAAACATTTGTAGGCACAGATGGATTTATTGACAAAGAAAATGTTAACAAAWGAAAAGAAATCTCAGATAAACCCTAGCAGAAGGGTTACCACGCAGTCATTATCACCGAACAGAAAAATACTTTTATTAAGTTCAGAAACTGCCTTTAGGTACTGCTGGTGAGACACGCRCACACACGTATGTTAAACACATAAACCACTCCTCTTCTGCATGTTTGTCCCCCTGCTTCACAAAACCTGTGTACATTAAATAGGTTAAGAACAAGCTTCACTCTGAACATACAGTATATATTAAAGTAGATGTTTGGTCAGTTTGATGCCAAACTGACAAAAAAAAAAAGTTTGATGCCAATGAGAAAATCTTGGAAAAATTAACACTGCAGCTTGACTTAGATGTGCAAAGCTTAAAGTGTAACTTACCCCCCTGTGAAAAGATAACTCCGCCCCAAGGCGAAATTTGAAAAATGCATCAAAGTGGGT